ACAAGATTTATACAAAACAAAATTAATATAATCATTTAATAAAATACTCTTTTATTTTTTTGAGACAGGGTCAGTTATGTCTCCCTGACTAACCGGGAACTCAACATATAGACAATGTAGGTCTTGAACTCACCAGAGACTGCTTATGTCTGCCTCCAGAGTGCTGGGATTACAGACAAACTCCATCATGTCCAGCTATTTAAAGACACTTAATATAGTAATTTTAAAACAACTCCCTAGATGAAATCATTCACCATGATCCGAGGCTTCTATCTAAAGATGCAAGAATGGCTCAGGATAAGGAAATCTATAAATGTAATGTATTGCATAAATGGCTTAAGAAATGAATCACCAATTTCCCTGAAAACTTCATGATGTCATTGTTTTTCTCTCGTGAGTAGTACTCCATTGTGTACACGAACCACATTTTCTTAATCCATTCTTAAGTTGAGGGATACCTAGGTTGTTTCCAGGCTCTGGCTATTACAAATAGTGTTGCGTTGAACATAGTTGAGCATGTGTCCTTGTGGTATGATTGAGCATTCCTTGGGGATATGCCCAAGAGTGGTATAATTTGTCTTGGGTGAGACTGATTCCCAATTTTCTAAGAAACCATCATATTGATTTACAAAGTGACTGTACACATTTGCATTCCCACCAACAGTGGAGGAGTGTTCCACTTGCTCCACATCCTCTCCAACATAAGCTGTCTTCACTATCTTTTATCTTAGCCATTCTGACATGAGTAAGATGATATCACAGAGTCATTTTGTTTTTTTGCATTTCCCTGATGACTAAAGATGTTTAGCAATTCCTTAAATGTCTTTCAGCCATTAGAGATTCTTCTGTTGAGAAGAATGAATGTAAAATCTCTTCATGAAAAAGTAAAAATAAAAAATAAAAAAAAAATGAATCACAGTGCCATCTGGCTAGATGTAAAAAGTACTTGGGACAAAACTTCAACCTCTTTTTGTTTCAAAAGCCCAAAAAAAGAAAAGAATAAGAGGATAGTATGCTACACTGGTTAATTTTTGTCCGCAAGACTCAAACACAGACTTATCTTGGAATAGAAATTCTTTGGGGGGAAGTTACCTCCATCAGATTGGCTTGTAAACATGCCTTTGAAGGCATTTATTGATTGTTGATTGATATATGAGGACAAAGCTCACTGTGGGCCATACCATCCCTGAGCAGATAGACCTGGGTTGTATTAAAAATCAAACTGAGCAAGCTGTTCAAAGCAAGCCAGTAGGCAACTTTCCTCCATGGTTCTTGTCTCTCCTCCTGCTTTAGTTTCTGACATGTCTTCCTTCTGTGATGGACTGTCATCAGGAGAGGAAAATAAGATAAAAATGTATCCTCTACAAGTTTCTTTTGGTCAGGTTTTATAACAGCAACAGAGCAAACTGAAATATATACTGGCACTGTAGTAATATTTGTGACAAGGAGCCAACAATGTAATAAACAGAAAGAAACTCTATTTCAGCTAAAACCAAGAAAAACATAAGGGCAGTCACATAGTCCATTTTGGGAGTAAGGATGGGATGGAGTAATAAAAGATATCTTAGTTAGGGGTTTTATTGATCTGAAGAGACACCATGACCATGCCACCTCTTATGAATAAAAGCATTTAATTGAGGTGTCTTGCTTATAGTTTGAGGGTTCATTCCATTATCATCAGGATGGGGAGCATTGCAGCATAAAAGCAGATGTGGTGCTAGATCTGAGAAGCCTACATGTTGACTCAGAGACCACAGGAAGTGGACTGAATGTCACACTTAGGAAGTTTGAGAAAAGAGACCTTAAAGACTGCCTCCACAGTGACACAATTGTTTCAACAAGGCCATACCTCCTAATAGTGCCATTCAATTTGGGGTCCATTTTTTTTTCAGTCTACCACAGAGGTAACTCTGTTTGGCCTAGAACATACTATGCAAAGCATGCTAGCCTCATACCACACAGTTTGGTCTGCCACTGCCTGCTGAGTGCTAGGATTAAAGTAGTTCACCACTATGTCCAGCTTCTCTCTCCAACATTTTATGCTATGCAGTGATTGAAGTCTTAGCCAAAGGAAAAGGACAAGAAATGATGTACATGAGATACAAATAGAAAAGCAAGAAGCCAAAGTTTTCTCCCTTGAAGAAGATATGCTTCCATTGAAATATATTATTTTGAGAAGTGTTACATTTGTTTATGCTGTGGAACATTTCTTTTCAATGATGTGAGCATGTGTTGCATTCTTTTTTGTTGCATTTATTTAACCCTGTGAAGCTTTGTTCCTTTGCCTGTCTAATTGGTCTAATAAAGTGCTTAATGGCCAGTAGCTAGGCAAGAGAAAGGATAGAAAATGCTGTCAGACAGACAGGATAAAAAGGAGGATAAATTTTGGAAGAAAATATTGAGAAGACAGAAAAGGAAGAGTGCAGGACTTGAGGAGGCAGCCATCCAGCTATAAACCAAGCCACAGTGTCAGGAGTAAACAAAGAAATACAGAATTAGAGAAAGAAAAAAGGCAGAGGCAAAAGGTAAAGGGGATATTTTAGGTTAAGAAAACTGGCTTACCAAAAGCCAAGCTAAGGCCAAGTAGTCACAAGTAAAAGACTCCATGTATTTATTTGGGAACTGGATGCTGGGGTCGCCAAATAGACAAAGAGTAATACAGGAAACAACAAGAGGCTTCCATATTGGAGATCCTAAACACTCCACAAAAAATATTTACATCAAAATGGCAGAATACAAATTTACTACAAAACTCAGTTGCTTCCTACATACAAAGGACACATTTGCTGAGAAAGAATTTAAGAAAACCAATTCACAATTGCCTCAGAAATATGGTAAAATAAACTTAATAAAAACTTGAAGGACATAAATAATGACAACATTAAAATAATGAAGAAACTGATTATATCATTAGTAGACAGGGAAATCTTCCACACATATATGTATATACATATACATATACATATACACAAACACACACACACACACATATATATATAAAGAGAGAGACTGGAATACTCAATATTATAAAAAAGATTACTTTAAAAAATTAATCAAGAGAACATAAGGGGCCAGGCGGTGGTGGCGCACACCTTTAATCCCAGCACTCGGAAGGCAGAGCCAGGCGGATCTCTGTGAGTTCGAGGCCAGCCTGGACTACCAAGTGAGTCACAGGAAAGGTGCAAAGCTACACAGAGAAACCCTGTCTTGAAAAACACACACACAAAAAAAGAGAACATAAGGGAACAGAATGGTGAAGCTGAAATTGGGATGGAGTGGGAGAGCAATGAAAGAGATACCGTGATAAAGGGAGACATCATGGGTATAGTTAGAAACTGAATACTAGGGAAGTTTCTAGGAATCCTCAAGGATACCCCAGCTTAGACTACTAGCAATAGTGGAGAGGGTGCCTGAACTGGCTTATCCCACTCATCACATCAGTGAATACCCTGTCTGCATTCATACAGCATTTATCCAATAACTAATGAAAGTACTTGCAGAGATCCACAGCCAAGCACCAGGCCAAGCCCAAGGATTTCAGTTGAAGAGAGAGAAGAGGGATTCTATGTGCAAGTGCCATCAAGATCATGATAGAGAAATCTACAGAGAAAACCACACCAAACTAGTGAGACCTCACGAACTTTGACCAATAGCTGTGGAGCCTGCATGGGACTGGACTAAGCCCCCTGCATAAGGGAGAGAGTTGTGTAGCTTGATCTGATGAAGGGGCCCCCTGGCAGTAGAAGCAGGATCCCTTCCTGGTGCATGAGCTGGCTTTTTGGAGCACAGTACCTATGGTGGGACACGTTGCACAGCCTTGATGCAGCGGGAGGGCCTTGGACTTGCCTCTACTGAATGTACCAGGCTCTGCTGATTCCCCATGAAGGACACCTTGTTGGAGGAGGGAATGAATAGTGGTTTAGGAAGGGTGAATATGGAGGGGTGGGAGGTGGAAAGAGAGGGAGATATATGGTTGGTATGTAAAATTAATTAAAAAAATCCTTAATAAAAAAAATCAAGGAAAAGAGGAATAGAGGTAAATGTAAGTATCAGAGAATAAAACATTTAGACTTAAAAACATCAGACACCCACATCATTTACACTATCAGAGGTGACCCAGTGTGTAGCCTCTCCATCCCAGTTCTTAAACATTGACAGCTACCACAGGCAGCACCTGTCGCTATAGCAAGTGAGAAGGGGAGTTAACAGTCACCACAATAAGTGATATTCTTTTTCAGAATGAAAACACAACATTGGAAATGCCCACATTCCTTTTTTGCATTGAAGACAGAGATAGATCTGGCCTTTGCAATTACCATAAGTCTGTAATGGTGCATGTGTTCAAGGTAGGGAAAGACAAAGAACACACCCATGTACCTCACAGTAGATAGATCTCATACATGCTCCCCATCGTAGCTTCAGAAGTGTGGAGTGATCACATGCAGAGTATCTGAAAGCTTAACTAATTGGCTACATGGATACTTGCCCAGTGAAGAGTTGTGCAAATATTAGAGAACCTATATCTGCACTAGGAGTCACACACTGATACATGTGACATTAGCAGACACAGGAAGAGACTTGAAAGCTTCTTGTGACTACTGAACTCATTGAAGTCGTCTGGAGCTTCTTCTTTTAGGACACCACTGTCTACCTCACAATGGCACCTGTGAAAAGGAAGGCTGCCTATGATAGACCAAAGTAAAGAATGCTGTTTTCAACTTGACTTTCTGCCTTGTAAATGGAGGCTAATTGGAAAAAAAAAATTAAAGTCTTGCAGCTTGATAGTGGGAAAACAATGATTATTAAAAATCAAAACATATTTTGTGTTAGTTTTTGGTAATAAGATTGGGAGAAAAGGACAGAAGCTCCCAGCATTCCTCTGCCCATTCATATACCTATCCTGCATTATATATTATGACATTTACATGAAAAATGCAAACACACTTACAGCTCATCCAGTTCAAACCTGAGATACTCTTTCAAGTCCACCTGCACTTCACTGCTCTGCACTGCAATAAGGTAAAAGACAAAACCTGTCACCACTTCTCCAGGCTTGTCTTCATTCTGCTTCATTCTCCAAAAGCACTTGGGGTGAGTGAGGTTGGACATGAGGAGGGGGATATTCAGGAGCCAGAAGAAGAAATGCAGAGTGAGCATCAGGTCCTGTCTCCAAATCTCTAAGCCACTAGTGTGCTCTGTGGATGCATAGCTGTTTATCAATTGGATAACCATGCATACACATCTGCTTTTATGTCTGCTGTCCACGGGAGAGGTCATTTATGTGGCTGAAATGCCTTGTTCTCCAGATGGCTCCACTACCCTGGAGGAAATTCAAGCACTTTCTGACCTAGGGCGTTGCAGCTGACATCCACAGCAGAGGTTAAAAAAATGGGTTGGAAAATATATCTGAGACATCTCAGCCTCAGGTCCTATGACCTCAACTCATATCCCTAGACATTGAGGCCCATGGGAGAAAGCAATGTTGGGCAGATTGGTGCCAAGCCAGCGTCTTTGTTTGTTTGAACAACTTTAGAAATGATGTCAGTGGAATGTGTCAGAAGATCCACAGCTGGATGTGAAGGTAAAGAATTGAAACAACCCATGACAATCAGAGCTCCTGTGGACACACTATGTGTTCTATTCCCAAGCCTCATGTGTACAGCATCCACCATTCATAGAGCATGAGCAGTATGGCCCATGCTATATCAGCCACAGAGACCATATAACCAACCAGTATCCCTGCTCTCCATTGTGTGAAGCTCCAACAACCAGGTCAAATTTAGAAATTCCTTGGCTATTACTGTGTCCAGAAATGCCCAGGCCATCATTCTCTATGAGAAATAAGCTTAATATTTGAGTTATGAAACATGAACTGCTTTTCTGAAGTCAGTTCCTTCTGATGACCTACTCCTTCAAATTTATCCTTCATTATCTATTCATTTCTGCTCATATTAGAACCCAGTAGTGACTCCAAAGCAGCACTGTGTCCAGTAGCTTAGAACCCATTAGTAACTGGCATAAAGCCTGTGTTCAAAGTGTAAGCTGTTCTTATCCCATTGTCATGCTCATATATTTTAGGCTGCATTCTAGAATATGTATTGCCAGTGGGAGAGCTCATTGATGAGTGTGGGCTGAGGAAACACCTTTAGATGATAATGACTATAGAGCAAAGACCACATAAGTCTGGTGCTTAGATGGTGTGGAGGCTGCTAGATGTTATTTAGTACTGGAGATGAGGTACACAGGTTGAGTATTCTCTGGATGTTGTGGAATATTTAAAAATCAACATTTAACACATGCATGGCCCCCTGGTTCTATGATGAGCTGCCTAAGATTGTCTAAGATGTGGATATAGACAGATGTGATGGGAGTAGATGTTCATATGAAAATGAGAAATTTCATGTTTCAAAACTGAATCTGTATTGATCACAGGAATCAGAATTAATGCTTTCTTTCCATAAATTATTGTTAGTTTTTAAATTAGTGCATAACATAATGGGATTTAGTGTGGCATTTTTATATGATGTGGATATAGACAGATGTGATGGAAGTAGATGTTCATAGTATCTTTGGCATGCATTCCCCATATGCAAAGCAAATGCTAAATTCCTGGTCAACTCATAATAGGATTATACCACAGGCCTGGCAGGAGCTGGCACATGCTGTTCTGGAAACCGGACAACAGCTCTAGTCGCAAATGTGGTTCAAAGAGGAATCTAAAAACATAGCAAAACAATGTAGGAATAAAGGTACACAAGTCTTCCAGAATCAGCTTTTTGGAGAAGGCCAATATGCTGCTGCAGTAGTACAAAAACAATGCTTATATGATATCCAAACCTTAATTCTAGGTTGAATGGCAGCCTTGAATGCATGGGATAGAGTTGAGGAACCAGGAAAAATAACTGAGTCATGTACAAAGCTTATACAAGGCCCAAAGGAATCTTTCACAGATTTCTTACAAACACTGACTTCAGCAGTAAAGAGAATGGTCCCAATGCAGAAGCTTGTCAGATAATAATTGAATCTTAGGCTTTTGAGAAGGCAAATGCAGCATGCAAGAGAATAATCAGGCCATTAAAGGCAAGATCCGCACCCTTGGAAGATTGGATTAGAGAAACAGTTAATGTTGAGGCTAATGACCATGCTATGTGGATAGGAGAAGCCATTTCAAGAGGTTTGAGGAATGTCAGATGGTTTGGATGTGGAAAGCAAGGACATTTGAAAAGAGACTGTAAACAAGACATTACTAGAAACAATGTTTCTTCAAGGAACAATGGCAACAGAATGCCTCTTCCATCAGGAGTATGCAGAAGTTGTGGTAAGGGAAAACACTGGACCAAGGAATGTAGATCAACAAGGGACAGGTAGGTAATACTTTGCCTCAGTCTTTGGTAAACTCCCAGAGGGGCCTTAGGCAGGCCCCCATAGCAAATGCAGTTCAGAACTTTCCTGAAGTGATAGAGGAACCCCCTACTCAGAGCAATTAAATAACCAAATGCCTATTGGAATAAATCATGCTGGTCAGAATGATGAAACAGAGAGAATAGAAAATTCAGGAGAAAACATAAAGAAAATTAATTGGCAAACTTGTATAAATGAACAAAGACCAAAATTAACAATAAAAATAAATGGTGTTTTTTAGTCTGGTATGGTAGACATAGGTGCTAATGTGACCATAATTCCACCAGAATTTTGTCATCCAACTTGGCCTTTTCAGGAGGTAAACGTTCAACTGTTAGGAAATGGAACATTATCTCAAGTGGAACAGAGTGCAAGATGGTTCCAATATATAGGTCCAGAAGGACAGAGAGGAAAATATAAACCACATGTGCCTACCATAGCTATGAACCTGTGGGCTCAAGACCTGTTGCAACAATGGAATACTCAGATTAACATCCCTACAACCTCAGAAACAAATGATAAACAAGCACATGTTTCTGAGAAAAATATTAGAAGATATTATTCTAATGAGTGGTCACCAGCCATCTATATTATACAAGAATGAGGCACAACAACTGATGATCTCCCAAAGACACCAAAAGCTCTACATTTAAAATGGTCAACAGACAAGCCTGTATGGGTTCAGCAATGGCCTTTA